TTTTTTTTTTGTTTAAACAGTACTGTAGTTTTCAGTGTGAAGGTATTTTACTTCCTTTCTTAGATTGACTCTTTGGTATTTCATTTTTGTGGACACTATTGTGAAAGGTTTTGTTTCCCTAATTTTTCTGAATTTTTTACTCATGTAGAAGAAAGCTATTGATTTTTGAGTGTTGACTTTGTATCTAGCTGTGCTACTGAATTTACTTATTAAATCTAGAAGTTTTTTGGTGGCGTTTTTGGGGTCTTCTATATAGAGCATCATCTGCAAATAATGATAATTTAACTTGTTCCTTTCCCATTGTTATTCCTTTTATTTCTTTCTCTCGTCTAATTGCTCTGGCCAATGTGTCAAGACTGTGTTGAGTAAGAGTGGTAATAGTGGACATCCTTGTCATGTCCCTGATTTTAGAGTGAAAGCTTTCTTTTTTTTTTTTTTTTTTTGGTCCATTTAGTATAATGTTGACTGTTGTTTTGTAATAGATGGCTTTTATCAGATTGAAATGAAGACCATCTATTCCAATTTTCGATAGGACCTTTATCATGAATAGATGCTGGACATTGTCAGAAGCTTTTTCTGCATCTGTAGAGATGATCATGTTTTTTGTCCTTGGTTCTGTTAATGTGGTATACTACATTTATTGATTTGCATATGTTGAACCATCCCTGTATCCCTAGGATGAATCCAACTTGATTGTGATGTATGACAATTATTTTCTTGGGTAAAAGTTTCCCATGGAAACCCGAGAATTCAGCACTCAGGAGGCTGAAGCAGGAGGATCACTGTGAGTTCAAGGCCAACCTGAACTGCATAGCAAAACCCTGTCTCAAAAAAAAAGAAAGAAAGACCTGGGAGTCAAAAGGGGACTGACAGGGGCCAGGGAGATGGCTCAGTAGAATTCACTTCCTGGTTCCACCAAAAAAGATCTGAGAGGAACAGGGGTCTACCTGCCACACGCAAAAACATCACATCAATACACAAAAAAAAAAAAAAAAAAAAAAAAAAAAGGGACCGACAGATGGGGAGGGGAGAGAATGAGGAAATAATTGAGATGTCTTATACACATATACCAACTGTAAGGAATGCGATCATTATGTACTATAAACATACACTAAAATAAAAAGTGTTTACAAAGAAATTTGAGAACAGTATGGGGAGTCAGAGTAAGACTGCCTGTCTTCTGAGACTTTAGCCTTTAAAACTTATATAGTAAGAACTTTACTGATAAGACAATGTCTTCAATTCTTGGGGTTGTTTTGTTTTGTTTTGTTTTGTTTTGTTTTGTTTTGTTTTGTTTTGTTTTTTTGGCAGAACCGGGGATTGAACTCAGGCCCTTGCGCTTGCCAGGGAAGCACTTATTCCACTGAGCCATCTCCCCGGCCCCAATGTCTTCAATTCTTAAAGACAAAAATCACATTTTTTTTAAACAATAAAATGACATGTCTGATCACACATTCTTTCTAGCCTCTTAAGTTTTTCTTTCACACAATAATGTGGACACAGGCTGGGACACAAGAGTGCACAGCTACAGTTCATTCCGTGATGCATATTGAGTCTGTTTAAAGGGCCACACACTTTTATTCTCTAGTTAGAGCAGGGAGTAGTGAGCAGGACACAGCTCCTGCACTGCTAGAAGAGAGATAAAAAGCTAGAGATGTCCCATATGACCAGAAGTGCCAGGGACAAATACAGTGTATAAATACAGTGACATGCAGACACCCGGCCGGCCACCACAGGGAGGTGGCCAGGAGGCCCTCTGAGGGGCGGTAAGACCTGAAGGGGAGGCAGCCATACCAGGCCCTAGGAAGAGAGTCACTGAGCCACAGCAACAGCAGTGCGTGGGCCAGTGAGTCTGTGAGGGCAATCGTGAGTGCTGCTGGCGAAGCCTCTGCTTCCTGCAAGGCTGTAACTAGGCGTGTTTAAGTGTGATTTTAGCACGGATACTCCCAGAGAATGAACTATCAGCTAGGGGTAATATTAAAATAGGAGGCATGGAAGAATATGGCTGGGCCAGAGATGAACATGTAAGATGTGTGAGGTGCAGAGTTTGGTCACTCAGGGTGACCCAGAGAGTGACGCCTGCCTGCACCTTGCTCCTGCCTAACGGGCCTCACACTCACCACAGCCCTGAGAGGGAGGGAAGGAGAGAGGGAGGGGAAGTTGAGTAGTGCAGCATCCTAGCGTGAGCAGGTCTGAGTGTGATGGAGCAGGTATGGAACATGGGAAGTGCTGAAAGAGCCCAGGAAGCTGGGCGTGGTGCTACAGACCTATCATCCCAGCACTCAAGTTGGCTGAGGCAGGAGGATCGCAAGTTCAAGCTCAGCCTGGGCACTTTAGTACCTTAGTGAGGCCCTGTCTCAAAATGTAAAACGTAAAAAGACTGTGACATAGCTTAGTGCACAGGAAAGGCCTGGGTTCCATTTCTTTCTTAGTTGCTTGTTTGTTTTTTGTTTGTTAGTTGGCTGAGACAGGGTCTCCCTGTGTTGTTCAAGTTATCCTCAGACTTGTAGCTATCTTCCTGCCTCAGCCTCCCAAATGCTGAGATTACCACACGCAGCTTGGGTTCAATTTCTGGTAACAAGTTTGTATGTACATGTACACACACACACACACACACACACACACACACACAGAGCCTGGCAGAGTGTCCCCAGAGGCTGATTCCCAGCTCCAGACTGGCACTCTATTCTACATAGCCTGGGGCCACCTCTCAGTGTCTGAGCATGAGGGCTGTGGTGCCCTAGGAAGCTGGCTGTGTGCTTCTCTCATTCTTGCATTGCTATCCACCAGCCACTCCTCCTGCGGGCCCCCTGTGGCAGCAGGCCCTGTAGGTAGCCTGTCCCTGAGGGCTTGGAGGGGCCTACCACCTCCTGTAAGGAGGACTCTCTTGCTTCCAAGTTGTATAGATTAAAAATGTAAAGTAGAGGTGTGTTGGCTTTTCTCTGAAGGGTGATGTCTGACAGGCAAGTTCCTTCTTACCATCTTTTCTTTTTTATAAATTTTTAATTATTTATTTGTGTGTGTGTGTATGTGTGGCCAGCTCAGCCCACCAGGGGGCACGGCTGGCTGGCATGTGGTGCTGGGGAATTGAACAGCAGTCCCTGTGCTTTGCTAGGCTAGTTCTATTTTTTTGTTGTTGTTGTTGTTGCTCTAATGCCTTCAGGGCACTTTTGGCCAGCGGGAGAGGTGTGAGGTTCGAACTCCAGCAACCTGAGGCTGACAGCTTTGTGGAAGCAGCCACTTAAAGGCCTGAGCTAGGGCCAGGCCCCCTGCTAAGCTTGTTCTAAGTAGGTGCTTTAGACCACTGAACCACCCACCAGCCCCCCTTCTTATCATCTTGCAAAACCAGTTTAAGAATAATCTGAAGGACTAGACACGAGCGAGCACATCTGTAATCCCAGCTACTCTGGAGGATGAGGCAAGAGGATTGCAAATTCAAGGCCAAACTCACTAACTCACTAAGACCCTCCCCTATAATAAAATGTAAAAGTACCAGGAACGCAGCTCAGTGGTAAGAGCAGTTGCCCTGCACATGGGCTTTAATTCCTAGTACTGAAAAAAACACAGAATGCCTTGAGGAATAATGGCCAACTAGCAGGGAAAAAGTCATCTAAATCAATAGTAGGGACTGGATTTTAAGAGTTAGCATGTGCCAGCATCAGACTGTCGCCACTCTTGTATGTGTGTGTGCTAAATTGTAAAATATGCTTACATTGCCACACCGTGCTGTTCTTTTTGATTTATGTTATCCTAATACAAAATTGACTCTCTTCTTTTTCTCTCCTTAAAAAGAATATGGATTGTGCTCAGTGCCATTTGAAAATAAGCTGTATCTCGTTGGGGGACAAACCACAATTGCAGAGTGCTACGACCAGGAGCAAAACGAATGGAGAGAGATCGCACCCATGATGGAGAGGAGGATGGAGTGTGGGGCGGTCATCATGAATGGGTGCATCTATGTCACTGGAGGGTACTCCTACTCCAAGGGAACCTATCTTCAGAGCATTGAGAAGTATGACCCAGACCTCAATAAGTGGGAGATAGTGGGTAATCTTCCAAGCGCCATGCGCTCCCACGGATGTGTTTGTGTGTATAATGTCTAATTGGATCCACAGAACTGATACAGTATTGTTTGGGGTACAGTAAAAGGAATGTAAGGCTTGGAGTCCTTACTTGTTATTTGGTCTGGCACATGACAGAGATTGTTAAATTTTAATTGCTAACCCTACTCGGCTCCCAAACCCAGTAACTAATGGTCAAGGAAAATCTTGTGTATCAATATAGTTGAATCAGTAGGGTTAAGACTTATAACCTCTGCATTTCAAAGATGATATGGAATATTTGACACTTGGTAAAAGGAGAATCATAGTGAATCTTTGCCTCCTGGTAGCATCAACACTGGGCATAGGTCAAATCATTCTATGTAATGAGATGTCTCTTATAAGTCATTGATTTAATAGTGAACAGGTTCTGCTTAGCTAGCAGGAATTTGAAATTTAAAGAGGAAATCTTCTCTACCTCTGTAACATCAACACTTAAATTTTTCCCTTTAAAACTATATAAAATGTGGACTTAAACTTTAAGTGTATTTTTCCATTCTAGCATTATATATTGTTAGTATTCTTTACTTATTGACCATCAGATATATACAAAATACTATGCAAAAGATTATTGCTGTTCCAAGAGTTCATAAAGTAAACTTAAAAGAATACCAAGCCTGAATAATTGCAGAGAAAGCAGTCAAATACTTGCTGATGCCACGGGCTAATTTTAATTCTTAGCCTTGATGTACATTGCCAGTTTAGACATCTTCACTTTAAGCATGTCAGAGAATCTTCTTAAAATATAGATGCATGTCTACAGATAAAGTTGAATTTGTGAGCAAGAAAGCATGTAGAACAGTTGTGATATCAAAGAAAATGCACTGATGAGAAGAAATTTGTATTCATTTCCCAGCTCTGCCACGAGCTCCCGTTTGGAGCTTGAGTCACGAACCTGCCTGTGTCAGCGCTCCCCATCCCGTGCACACTGTCCTTGTGGTCGTAGATGTGTTGGTACAGTGCCCCTCCCTCAACCCTTGCAGCCAGAGGAGCGGAGGAGCCCCGGGTGGCTGGAGTCTCTGGACTAGAAGCCTTTGTCGGTCTTCGCCGTGTGCCTGCAGGCTCCTTTCCCACACAACCCATAACTGGAGGGTGTGGGAAGCATTGCTTTGCTTAGCAGCTTAACTTTTAGCTATGTATGAGGCCAGCTGTTTTACAACGTTTTTCTTTCTTTCTTTTTTTTTTAAGAGACAAGACCTACTTTTCACTGAAGTTTAAAACTACTTCCGGCTGTAAAACTTTTAGAAAGACACTGTTTAACAAACACATTTTAGATGGCATTTTAAATAGATAAACCTCTTGAGGGGTACAATATGGTACTACATAGCCAGGACCATATAATGACTTTATCCTTTACCCCATAAATTCTCCTCATATTTTTGAATTAACAATACCCTCCAAAAGTAAATGAATGAAGATGGTTATTTCTGTATTTTTGTAATAGAAAAAAAATTGGAAAAAGTCTTCCAATTTTTTGGAAAAAGAAGAAAATGAGCTAATAAAAATATGGAAGTGTACTGATATGAAAATAATTCTTTGGAAGTCTATGTAGAAACATGGACGTGTCTCTGATATGGTAAGTGAAATAAGCACAGTACAAAATTGTGTGCACACCGCGATTGTGACCGTGAAGTCTATGCATGGGAGAGGAAATACGCAAAATAAACTTGTATTAGTGTAAAGGGATATTGAATGATTTTTAATTTATTTTTTCTTTATTATTTGTATTTTCAATAAAAATAAATCACTGTGTTCATTGTTAATACTCCTTGAATTTGGGCCAGTTTGGTTTGAGAACAATCTGAATTAGTGAAACAACTGAATTATAAAGTATTTCAGTCCATAGTTGAATTATAAACTGTTCTATGTTTTATTTTTAAAACATTTAGCAATTAATACTAGACTACTGGTATGTTACTCAGTACCATTTTATTTTTTTTAAATATTTTTTAAAAAATTTTATTTGTGTGTGTGTGTGTGTGTGTGTGTGTGGCCAGCTCAGCCCACCAGGGGGCGGGGCTGGCTGGCATGTGGTGCTGGGGGATTGAACCGCAGTCCCTGTGCTTTGCTAAGCTTGTTCTAAATAGGTGCTTTAGACCACGGAGCCATCTCACCAGCCCCTCAGTACCATTTTAGGTCTTCATAATGGGAGAGACAAGAGTGGTTGTGACAGGTGTGGTGGTAGGGCTATAATCCTAGCACTTAAGGCAGGAGGATCACAAGTGTGAGGCTAGTCTGGGGTTGATCTGAGCTATGTACAGACCCTGTCTCAAAAAGAAAAGAAGGATGGAAAGAAACAAGAAATGAAGGAAGAAAAAACTGTAGTCATCTTTCTCTCCTTTGCTAGTTATGTAGATCCTATAAAATCCTAACTCAATGGGAGGCTGAGGCAGGGGATCATTGCACGTTCAAGACCAGCCTGAGCTACAAAAGTGAACTCAAGGACAGCCTGAACTGCATAGCGACACCTTTTCTCAAAAAAAAAAAAAAAAAAAAAAAAAAATCCTAATTCAATTTCAACCTCTTCTGGGAATTCTTTCCTGAATGTTTCAGCTATAATAAAACTCTCTTTATCACAAAGAATGTTAGCATTTATGAGTGCTTAGTAGATCTCTTGGCCAGGTTTGAAATTGTGGTCCACATCTTATTCTTAGTATTCTCAAGGTCAGTCATTTCATGTGTGTATCTAAAGGATAATAGTATCCGTTATTTGTAGAGAAAAGTATTCTGAAGGGGTGTGAAAAAAATCTAGAAAGTAGTTTATTACCTGGGACATTTAATTTGCAGTTTCTAAAATAATATTATTTGCTACTGATTTGTATTCAAAAGAAAAGATTAGGGAAAGTACAAAGTTTTTTGTCAAGCATCCTAAGTTTCAAATCACTGCAGTATGAATAAAAAAAAAAAATACTCTTTCAAATTTAAAAGCCAATGCTTTTAACAAGCATTATTTTACAAAATAAAGGAAACTATGGAGATGATTTTATGCACAACAACTAAAAATAACCCTATCCAAGTTTTAAAAGTTGCTGGTTTTCACATGTTTTATTCATAGTTTTTTAGCTGAAACTGAAGGAGGATCAGCATCTAGGGTGCTTGCTTGAAGCAGACACATTGAGCTTTTGTTTCCCCTCACAGGTAAGTGAGCACCTGTATCATGAACTAAATAGTTGAGTTCTCCCAAAGCTTCCAAGTTGAAGCCCGAAACCCCAGTGTCACTGTACTTGGAGAGAGTGCGAATACTTCATGGATCTAATTAAAGTAAAATGAGGCCCCGAGGATGGGCCTCCAGCCAATAGCTAAGTGCCTTACAGGAAGAGCCTGGAGAGCCTGCTCCTGGGTGCACTCGTTCTCATCCTCCTCCCTCCCCCAGGTCCCTGGAACTCAACCATCAGACTTCCAGCTGCTAGAACTGGGAACAAATACACGCCTGTTGCTCAGGCCCCTTAGCCTATGGTGTGCAGCCCAAATTGACTAGTAAAGCTTGCACAGGAGTTGCCTCTTCATTGGTGCTGGGATTGAACACAGGCCCTTACCCTGAGCACCCTAACTCCACCACTCCCCTTATTTTGAGACAAGGTCTTGCTAAGTCACTAACTTGCCCAGGGAGGGCTCAAACTTGAAATCCTCCTGCTTCAGCCTCCTAGAGTGTTGGGATTACAGGTGTGTGGCACCATGTTTGGTAATATGGCACGTCATCTGATGCAGCTGGTACTAGGCTGTCCCCTAGATAGCACCTCATGCTCCCATCACCTATGCAAAGCAGCCAAAAGCATTTATTAGAGAAGATCTGAAACCATAGCAATGCACTTTCATTTTGTAGGCCACAATAAACAGCTTGGAGTTTCTGTCTGCCTCAAGCAGTGCTCCGTGTGCAGAAGCCCTCACTCCTTCCCTGTGCAGCAGTGATGCCGGACTGTTGTTTCACCTCACGTGCCACAGTGGAGGTTGGCCAAGTTCCCTGAAGGCTTCAGTGACAAGAGGTGACAGAGAAGACATAATGATGAGGAGTGGGGATGGCGCTAGGTGCCTGGCTTCTAGGCTTTCTTGTAGTTTATTCCTATCTTTCCTTTTAATGTATTTTAGGTATAGGGTCTACAGGATCTCAGTACACAGATTGGACTCTTAGTGAGCCTCCTGTTTTCAGCCTCCCAAGCGCTGGGATTACAGGTGAGCACCACCACACCCAGCCTCAGTCGTAGTCTCAGTGTGCCCCGGGGTGGGGCCAGCACAGCATGCGGGGGATCAGACCCCAGTTGCTGCGCCTGCCTAAGCAGGTACGTTAGTCCACTGAGCTATCTGGCTGGCCCTAGTTTAATCTTAACTTTCCTGCAGTTTGGTTATATGAACCAAAAGGGTTTTTGTTTTGTTTTGTTTTGAGTTGTGATTTTGACTCTTCCAGCCAAACAAAGCACAGACTAATGTCAAACAAGCTGCTGGGGTTTGTAGCTCAGTAGTAGAGCCCTTCCCTAGCATTCGTGAGGCCATGGATATGAGCCCTAGCACTGCAAAGAAATAATATCCACATTCCCAGTCAATAGACCTTATTCACAAGCAAACATTTGCAATAAAACCTTCGTTAGTTTTGGTATGATTGCCAGGATGCTGGCTCAGCGGCATAAGCACCTGCCTGGCAAGAGTAAGGTCACAAGTTTGATCCCTGGGACCAAAAAAAAAAAAAAAGTTTTGGTATGACTTTAAAAAAAAAGTTACTGTCAAATACAATATAGATACAGAAATCCTGTGAAACAAATGTGCAGTTTAATTGGTTGGAAAGACATAAAAGAAATGTTGGCCTCCAAACTGAGAGTAGGCGACAGTCCAAGCAACAACTTGGACAAGCCCAGCTTGACAAGTAACTGAGTTTGCTGGTGCTGGTGCCTTACAAAGCGAGCAATGGACCACTGGAGAATGGGAGTACTTAGTAATTCAGCAGGGCCGGGGAGATGGCTCAGTAGAAAAAAAACTTGCCTGGCAAGCGCAAGGTCCTGAGTTCAATCCCCAGTACTCAAAAAAAAAAAAAAAAATCAGCAACCCCATTGCAAGCACAGGATCAAAGCTTTGGGACAAGTTATGCGTACTCCGCTTCTATTTCATCCTTACCAGAATCCACCAGTTGTGGGGGCTGGGGAGATGGCTCAGTGGAATAAGTGCTTGCCTGGCAAGTGCAAGGACCTGAGTTCAATCCTTGGTTCCACCCCCCCCCAAAAAAAAAAAAGAATCCACCAGTCTCAGCAGCTGTCCAGCCCTGTGATAGGTGGAGGATGGTGTCTGCCTGGTACCTATCCAGGACACACTGAACAGCTAAGAGGGCCAGCCAAATAGCTCAGCAGATGAAAGTGCCTGCAAGCAGGCATAGGAGCCAGGAGTTCGATCTCCGGGGCTGCTATGCTGCTGCTGAGATGGCGATTGAGACTGGGCATGGTGGCGCATGCCTGTAATCCCAGCTCTGGGAGGCTGTGAACAGGCGGATCACTAGGAGTCCAATCTAGTAGTGAGACCCTGAACACCCTGTAGACCCTTCCCTAAAATACAGAAAAATAAATAAATAAATAAAAATCATTTTTTAAAAAAAGGTGCCTTCTCCAAGAAGGCTAAATGCAGGAACTGCACACTCTTCAGAAGCCTCAGAATCCAGACATTCACTCAGCTGCCCAAGTGGTTTTTGAAATTGTTAGTTTAAACCTAAGTTGTGCCTGATCAAAATCGTTACCCTCTTGGCTGGACATGACTTGGGGCTTCCAGTGCATTCTGTGGCTTCGTCTTCCCCATTTGCTTGCATCTTGCATACCTCAGACCTGTGAGACTTAGTCCTAACTGGGCATCTTTCCATAGTGACATCGGCTTCTGGGAGCCTCTGTGCTGTTTTATTCCATGAGTTATAAAGAAAGATATTCTTGGCCGTTGCGATGCATGTGCTGAAACTTTGAAAGTTTTTTCAGTGAGGAAGCTGCAAGTTTAATGGGGGAAACAACTGCAGAATATAATGAATTGTCTGGAAGTAGCACACTATCCTGCCTCAGAAATGCAGGATCAGAAACCTCCAGGCTCCTTCTCTATTTTACTCCTTTCCTTGATTGTAAAAACCGAATGTTGAAGGCAGTCGTGGTGCTGCACGCCTGTAGTCCCAGCTACTCCGGAGGCTGAGACAATAAGGTCATGGGTTCAAGTCCAGCCTGGAGAATGTATAGAGACCTTGTCTCAAAAAACAAAAACTGGAGGTGCAGCTCAGTGGTTGAGCACTTCCCTAGCCCGTGTGAGGCCCTAGGTTCACTTCTTAACACTGCTAATCAGAAACAAAAACAGAAAAACATTTAGAAAAATTTAAGGGAAAGGGGAGCCATCTGCATGGGTCTCCAGCCCCTTAATGTAACAGAAATTGGTGTGACAGGACTTAGGACTCTGTTAGGCAGCAGGGGCAGCAGCTCTCAAAGGGAGGCGGGAAACTCAGAATGGACTTT